TTGATATTTCAAGAATTATAATAACATACTTGTTTATGTTGAGGATCATCTGTGACTGCTGAGATTGAACTCAAGAACAATAAGACAAGGACAGATGAGAGGAGACAAAAAGAAGATGCCCGCTTCGCCATTTTTTTTGTTGTTGTAATAAAATGAATTAAGATTACCGTAATTTTTTCAAATTCTATGGAGAACAATAAGATAGGATGTATAAATATTACAAATCACTCTAAACCGTACAAGAAAAATATCTTAAATAAATTCCTCTGATTCTGTTTCTTATTGACAGAATTTTAAATAATATTTGTATAACTAAACATCATTGTAATAAGATATTGTATGTTGATCAAAACGCTTTTGGTATGATCGTTGTATTAGGAAACGTATCTAAGGTTTAATTTTTCACATTAGTTTATTTTAAACTCAGTTTCTTTGTTTATTTCTCAACCTCTTGCTGGAAATCAAACTATTATATTCCAGCTAATTCATAGAAACACAAAGCTCTTTCAAAATGTATATTAAGATTTAAACACAAAACTAGAGAAAAGAAACACACAAAAAAAACAATATTTAATTTATTATCATGTGTAGACAACAATGGGGCTTCTCACATTATGTGATTTATCAGACAAATATTAGATTTCCAGACCAAGGCAGTTTTTGGTCGAAACCGCTGCCTGAAACTCGATCGATACAATCAAGCTGATTAAGAGATCGAATAAGAAGAGATAGTCAATGGTTCTCATCGACCAATCAGTATGACAAGTCTTGATGTATACGGCCACACCTGCAACAACGTGTGGACATGACATTGAAGTTCCAGAGATAACAGCGTAATTGTTCAACGTGGGGACAAGACATGAACGTCTTTTGTTAGAATATTCATAACAAAAAATATAAACTAATTATAAGTAATCATGATTAGAGAATGAATTAATTTAAATCACACCTTTCCTCCGGTGACTTCTTGAAAAATTAATCATGTGAAAAGACATTAATTGGTCTGTACTTTGTAGTCTTCACTAGATGGACGTGATCCCATGTAATATGGATTATCATCATCATCATAGGAAGAAACAAA